GCTCAATGATTATGAAACAATAGATTTTTCGAGACCCAACTTTTCTTTGCAATAAAAATAAGGTGAAATAGGTAGGTGGACAATTTGGTTAAAATTGAAAGAGAACAAAAGTTTATTAAAAAGCTCCGCATTTTATCCTAATCATAAGAGTTTGAAGTCGAAAGATACATAATAAAATAAGGTATCTCTGGTACCTAAGGTCTGTAGGATCTGTTTCGAAATTGAACCCAAGTTTTGGTTACATATCATGGAATGCAAGATATTCTTTGTGACAATCCGTCCTACGTTCTTAAGATTCTGATAAAGGTAGTAAAAATCAAATAATGAAAGTAGGCGCATACCTTAAAAATGTTAAGCAGAGAATCAGAAAGCAGAATCGTAACACGCAGCCCATCAGCTTCTGGCATACTGGCAAGTTCTTCAGGAGATTCCAAGCGAGACAAATGAGAAAATCGGAGTCCCGAAGCTTGCATTGGATGCCCGACTAAGGAGCGAGAAAAAGAACCACCGGTTTGAGCTCTGGTACTTTGGAAGCCAGCTAGTGGGCTAGTAACTAAGCCAAATAATTAAAGAAAAAAGGAAATAATAAAAATTTTGCATTAAGAATGGAGAATGATTAGAGTTGGAAAATAACAAAATGGTGCATGATGGATTTAAATTGTTATACCGAAAATATGCTTAACGTTTCAAACAGTAAAAATTAGTCGCTCTATGGTGGTAGTCAGGTTATTCCATTTAAACCAAGCTCATGTAGCCATTGGGTTGGATGTAGCACGGCAATTAAGATAAATATATTGAGCCTTGGACCCGACTCCAGCACGATTGTTGACTATGCCAATGGAAGTCGAAAGTAAGCAGGAACTGGGATGAGAATCAATACAGTAGAACTCTATGGTACAAACAAATATTATCGTCACTTTATTGTGGATAAGCCAGTTAGTACTTAGTAAAAAATAAATGGACTAATAACGTAACCCACCCACAAGCGAAAGATGAGTTATAAAACAAAATTAATAATTTTGTTCGATGCAGAGCTGAAAATAAAATATCAAGGCAAACAATGGGAATTTTTAAATAGTGATTATAGTTAATAATATAAAAGAAATAAAACGACCAAGGAGTCAAATGTATACACCACAAAGGGTCTGAATAACTACCTCAAGTTGAATAAAGACAATTTTAATAAGTTTTGAATGTCTGGGAATGTACCACGTCCACGATCTAACTCTGAAAATGATGATGCATACAATGGACTCCGGACAAGGTGCGCTGCTCTAAATCTTCCTACCAATATGACCGAGTTGCGAAAACAAGGTCAAACAACTTCTATATAACGAAAGGAGACTGCG